CAAACCGTCGCACTTCAGCGTTACCATCGCTGTTCGGAGGACCGTTGAGGTTCATAGTCCTATATATATGCAGTAGTTTTTGATAATATACCAAATCGCAACAACTATATAATTTATTTTTATCATGAATATGCACTATAATACCATTTAACGCAAGTAAATAATCATAATCATTATTCTAAATTTTAAACATTTCAGAATGATTTGACTTACCTTATCAATTGATATATATAACTATTTGTTGTATGTTCTTAAGTTACTTTTTTACTTTCAAGCTTTTAAATATTTCCATATAATGCTAAACTATTTCAACAAACACCTATATATGATCAAGTTTTGAAAAATCATTCTTATTGGTCATTATAGTTATTCTCACTTAGGTATTAAACTCTATTCATAGTAATATTATAATGACAGCTACTGACACGAGTGGTCACTTACATTGACTGGAATTAAATTTACCAACGTTAAACAATAGAGCACTAATTAAGCTATCGGTATGATTATGAAATAAGATATCATAACTTAAATCTAAATCTTTTTTCAAATTTTAAGTTTTATTATTAACACTCAGCAATGATATATATGGTAGGTCTTACCATGGCTATTATATCTATGGTTTAATTATGTAAATCCTCACGCTAAGACATAAAAGTGTAACGGTATGAGGTTAGACATAACTTACATACTAATGCCGAAACTGACAGATTCAACACAATGTGACTCAGTCGTTATAAGAGTCTTTAGTAATAATGTAGGAAACCAACCGTGATATGACAATGAACTAAATATTGAATGGAGCATTAATTGTTCTTACAGAACTAGATAAACACTTGTATACGCTTCCTACTTACATAGTGATAAAAGACGTGATATTTGGGTTGCCTAGGGAACGACCGTTTAACATCAAAGGGGCAATGGTTTTTTCCTAATAAAATATTCTGATCCCCAATTTGATGTTATAAAAAAATATTGTGGTCAAGCAAATGACAAAAAAAAAATATATCCTGAATCATGACCTTATAGTGTTAAATTTTGAAGAAAAAACTAAAAAAAAAATTTCGTGTTTTGCGCGAAAAAAAATCTGACTCAGACAAAAAAAAAACATACCCCCCTTGAAGTTAAATGGTTGCTCCTTTATGTAAATGAAATGTACACAGAGTAATGATTCTGTCTTGACTGGTTTATATGGTTGCCCAACTTTCTGAATACGGAGATCTTACGTTCTAAGTTTTGTTATCCTATCCAAATTCTATGTTGTTCACTTAGTTTTAACTCAAACGATTGATTTCTCAAGCGGCTTTAACAAATAACTGTCTATACCAAAATATTTCAAAAAATTAAAGGTGTCTACGGGAAGCGTTGCCCATATCACTTTGCCATTTTTTAATAATTGACCTTGACGTGTCTGTCTCAACAGAATTTTACAACAACACCTATCTGATTTTCAAAAATATATCCCAAACCTGCATTGTTAGAATATAGCTTCAATTGTGATTATCGTCCTGAACATGCATGAAATATTTACCACTAGACGTTAAGCAACCAACAATCAATCAATTAATCAATTATGATTTAACAACATAAAAGACATTGCAAACTATTTGTCTTTCAACTGTACAAAAGGCTATACATATGTTGACCAAATGACTTTATCTACTTAATTCATCAGAATTTTACAATCTTCACGAAAATGAAACCATTCGAACTTTAATCCTTATTTGTAAAGGATATCTACTACGTACGCTATACACAACATAATTAGGAGTTATAGATCTCTCATTTAAAAATCCTTTCGCAAAAACTTAAATGAGCTTGCTAGGAAAATTTATATAATAATATCCCCATATTTTCGACTTATTACTAATACATAAATTATAATAAAGGATTTATTTGCCGGATTCATTTTTTTTTTCTGGCGTTTGAAAAACTTTAACACTAACCCTAGGCATGAACATGAATCTACAATTTCTAAAATGTTATCATATAATTTAAATTCATAGTTCAAGTTCTGGCAATGTTTTAGTTTACGGGAAACCATTAAATTTGATTTATAAGTAATAACTTTCAACATCTTTATGTTTTAGTAAGCCAAAACAATACTAGTCAAGAGCATTTTGCTTTCAATCTTTGGTTAAGGGAGCTACCATTTGATTTTTTATGGGGGGGGGGGGGGGGGGGGGGGTAGGATGAAATTTGAAAAAAAATAGGCAGGACAGGAGTTTTGAGTAAAACAAAAGGCAGGATGAGACACTTGCAAAAAAAAAAGTCAGGATGTTAAAATAGGTAAAAAAAGTCAGGATAAACTAAAATAAAAAGGCAGGACAGAAATTACAACTAAAAAAAAATGCAGGACAACATTTTTCATCCTAGCCCCCCCCCCCCCCCCCCCCCCCTAAAAATCAAATGGTAGCCCCCTAATGCAAACATATCTGTATCTTCTGATTGGGAGATTGCAAACAGTTTTAATAGAAAATAAAATTCTGGTAACATTTTCCGCTTTCTTCTTCAGATGTGGTGGAATTTCTATTCTGTAAAAAAAATCTTGTTAAGAAGATAGATAAAAAAGGAGGCATTTTAAGGGATTAGGCTATTTACTGTGTATAGAACACCAGATCAAAGTATACATATTAAATACTACTGTTAATATTTTGCCTTAATTCCATTCTTATTTTAATTTTATCCATTAGCCACTCCTTCAGATTGTGTCACTAACATTGGTTTTCGTTTAGACCAATTAATTTCAGAAAACATTTTTGCCTTGCGACAGTCTACATTTGTACAAAATAGTGATTATCCATGTGACTGATACAGTAAAAGCAAAGCATGCAGACCCTCAAAGGGTTACTGGGGAATAGAAATATGGTCACTTAGGTCTTTTATCGACAGGCAGTAAAACCCTTGACAAAGTGGGGCGTTCTTTTGGTTGTGCTGGATGTACAAGTACGCGGCCATGTCCGTTCAGATTTTGGACGTTAAATCCCATGCCTAGTGTAGAGGGAGTGCCACATTTTCTGTACGTAAAAAACCCTGTTTGAGGGGTCCGTAGGTAGCCTGTTGCAAGGCAAATTTTCTGTCCCTATCCAAAATACCTTCATTTTTGAGTGCTAGTACAAATTTCTCCTGTCTTTATCCCGGACGCCTCTATCACATGAACTACCTATTGTATTTGTTGTCAATTATTCCCGTCCTGGACATGCATGAAATATTTGCCACTGGACTTTAAGCTACCAACAATCAATCAATCAAACCTTAATAGAACAATGTTGGTTATTGGCATATGTGGAAATTTTATGTTTATATTGCATTCCCAATCATCTTCAGCAAAAAATCTTTAGATTTACTCGTTAGTACTCATCAGCCGAAAAAAATGGAGAATAAACCAGGCTAACCGAAAGCTGAAAGAAGAGTTAGATAAACTTTCGACAAACATTGAATTTCTGTGAAAGTTTAATCGGTTCGTAAAACACCAAAATAACCAGTTTATCAATTCGCATATAATGAAGCTGCGAATGTCGAAAAAGTTTTCGAATTTAAATTACCTAAATACCTCGTGGAATTTTAATGTCTAAAATGTCTATCGATTATTCAACTTTGGAAAAATATTTGTCGTAAATGTCAAACGTGGTGCCAATGACGTTAAAAACGAAATTGATATATGGTTACTCTTGAACGTCATAAATTTTAACTAGTCTTATGTGAAAAGCATAGAGCTTCTGAAAATTGTAAAAAATAACACCGTAAAATAACCGTTTAAACCTAGCATTATTTACACGTGCAATAAATAAAATTCGTAAGGGTTCCGCGGAACCCAGTGTCTCGCCTACTTTTGCTGTTAATCGCGGACTCAACAAAAATGAGATGAGGAAAAATTGAATAAAAATATTCCTCTCGATACAATTTTTTTATTGTAAGAAGCTTCTGTCCAAGTTTGGTAAAAATCCAGGATAGTTTATGAATCTAATAAATGTTTTTTAAAATTTTTACTGCAGACTGTATGTAATGTTAACTGGAAGAAAAACTAAGTCCATTTATAAGTAAAATATGGATAAACAAGTACAAAATTTTAATAAAAATTTCCTTCTAGATACTAGCTTTTGATCATAAACAAACTTCTGTTCATGTTTGGTACAAATCCAGGATAGTTTAAGAAAGTTATTAAAATTTTAAAAACTTTAACCACAGAGTGAATGTAATGTTTCCTGGCAGAAAAACTAAGTCAATTTATAAGTAAAATACGGAAAAAACAGGATTTTTTTTTTAAATTTACTTCTGGAAACTATATTATGATCATAAACAAGCTTCTGTCCAAGTTTGGTAGAAATCCAGGATAGTTTGAGAAAGTTATTAAAATTTTAAAAACTTTAACTACAGAGTGAATGTAATGTTTCTAGGCAGAAAAACTAAGTCCATTTATAAGTAAAATACGGAAAAACAGGAATTTTTTTTTTACAAAATTTACTTCTGGATACTATCTTATGATCATAAACAAGCTTCTGTCCAAGTTTGGTAGAAATCCAGGATAGTTTAAGAAAGTTATTTAAATTTCAAAAACTTTAACCACAGAGTGAATATTTGTGGACGCCGCCGACGACGACGACGGAATGTAGGATCGCTATGTCTCGCTTTTTCCACAAAAGTCGAAGGCTCGACAATAAAAGTACTACAGATATGCCTTAGTGTTTTTTGCTTAAAAAGGAAAAGTTACTCGAGCATTGTATTTGCAAGCGACATTTATTCTATCCCCAGTTTTGGTGGGTGCCGTATTACTCAGTCTTTGGTTTTCTATGTTGTGTTTTGTGTATTGTTGTTTGTCTGTTTGTCTTTTTCTTTTTTAACCATTGCTTTGTCAGTTTTTTATCGACTTATGAGTTTGAATGCCCCTTTGGTATCCTTCGCCTCTTTTTTATATTGGATTAAGATGTGAACAGTCATAAGCCATCGGACGACCTTACAACACAGGATGAAAATATATGAAACAACAAGGAAAACCAACGGCATATGGACATGTTTCAATTTATAAATTATAAGGGAACGACCATTTAACTTCAAGGGGTTGGGGGTTATGTTCTTTCCTAAAAAAATATTCTGATCCCCAATTTTGATTAAAAAAAATATTGTGGTCAAGCAGATGACAAAAAAATTCTAAATCCAGATTTTCACCTTACCTTATAGTGTTAAATTTTGAAGAAAACAAATAATTTGATTGATAGCGTTGAAAAACTAAAAAAAAATTGTGCGAGAAAAAAATTTCTGAAATCAGACAAAATACCACCCCCCTTTTGAAGTTAATTGGTTGCTGCCTAATTGGTGCAATGGGAAAAAATATAATCCTTAATCTGAATATCATAAAATATTAACAGTCATTTTATCCATTAAAGTATTGACGTTGCTTGAGTTTCCAATCTTAGTTCTTCTTCTGGTGAATAAGAGAAGAATTCAATTGAAGCTTGACAACATGTCTCTCCATTTTGATTTAGAATTTCAAAGTAAGCCTTGTTTGGTGCAAGAATATCATCCCATGAGTAGATATTTAGGGATTCAAATTCAAGGGATTCCTTCTTGAATGAAACGGTGATTGATTTTAGTCCATTCTTCAATGACTGACTATTGATGGTTTTGTAGAGCGACTTTCGTGCAAAAACACAACATGTGTCGTAACAAAAATTTCCATAGTTTGACCAGCTTGTATGCTCATAAACATCACAATCAAGGGGATGAACAATTATTTCATCTTTTAAACATTGGTCCGGTCGTAACAAATGATCCATTTGTAATGGACGAACAACTTCCGACTTCAAGCTACCATACTTAGCCGTCCACCATAGTGGTAAGGCAGTTGGTTTCCGGGTAGCTGGATCGACAAGAACATGATGAACATCAAATTGTGCATACGGTTTTGGCACTTCTGGACAACTAAGGATACTGGAAATACGTTTCGAAGAATTTCCTATATAGACTAAAGAATGTGTTACTGTGAGCGGATATTTCGGGGTATCTAGCAAATATACTGAAGGAGATACTTGTAATTGAATTGTTGCTATATAAATCAGGTTACTTCGTGATATCCTTTCCATGTCCAGAAATGATTCTAATTTCTTTGGCCAAAAACTTATTACTCTTGAAGATTCAATTACCATAAGTAAGCTCCTTGGTTTTATCTTTCCAGCTAGAAAATAGAAGAAATTATTTAAATGAAAAGAAATCAGTTTAATTCCACCAAAATATGACAAAATCAACATAATTCATATTATTTCTTCAAAATCATATAATCGATTGCATTTACATTTTAAAAAATCTTTTAATAATAGATATTATTTAGAAACTTTAAATGATGCATATATGTATCCGGGTAGTATATTTATCAATTATGAACTTTTGACGAGGTCAATTAATATATAATATATGGACATGTTCAGATATTGACCGAGGACGTATTCCGAGGTTCAATATAATCTAATAGGTCCACTATGTATTAAACGTAATTGACTGAGTGAAAGTCCTTAATTTATACGATACGTGTGTAAATAGTGTATTATTGAAATGGACTTCAATGTTTTTTCTGTGTATTTAAAATTGTCTTTTGCAAGATTTTTAATATTGACCGTCAATATATAATATATAAATAGAAACATAGCGTCCATATACCTAAATACACTTTAAGCCACGTGATCGTAATAACCAATGAAAAAAGAAGAATGCTACACCATATGTAATATAATATCTACCACAAAGCTGTTTAATACATTACCGGCGTTATCAAATGATTCATAAGGGAAACCTCCAGGTAAGTGAACTTTACAAATAAACGGAGATACATGTTCCATACTGTAGTTAATTTGCCGAACAATTCTGAAAAATAATAATGCACTAAACTTTATAGCCTTTGCTCACGACCATTTGATTTTCGGGAGTTCGGGGGAGGGGAGGATTTAAAAAATGAATATCTTGGCCCGGTTAGACCTGAAAATAAATAAACTTATATAATTTTATTGTGATCTTAGCGTATACATGACAAACTAGGTGTGGCACCCGTTATGTTACTCATGGTAAGTATTCAAATGTATTATAAATCTATCAAACAACTTCCATACAAGACATTAGTCTGTTAAATATCATTATTGATATTAAATCTTGTTTTACATTATTCCTTTAGGTTTTCAAACTTTATGTATTTAAGGAAAACTAAAAAAAAAATTGTCTTGTTGATGTTATCATTCATTAATTAAGATATAAACAAACAGTCTAAGCAACATATTTTGCCATAAATCGTATTAACAAAGATGTTAAATTTAGGGTAAAACTGTTGCTAAACATATATGTAAATTAACCAAATTATAAATGCTAAATATTATAAATTAAAAAGATATTGTATGATTGTCAATGAGACAACTATACACTAGAGACCAGCGGTCGAAAAGGCAAACAACTAAAAAAAATTGTAAAGGTCCCCGTACGACCTTCAATTAACAATAAGCTTTCAATGTCACTACATTAAAAAATGTAAAAAAAAAAACAAATGAGAAAGTCCCCCCCCCCCCCCCCCCCTTCCGCTTGCATAGTGGTTTTGATGTGTGTTTTGAGGTAATAAGCATTGCTTATAAATTTCATAACGTTTGGTGGAGGCAAACTGAAGTTAGAGAACGGAAACGAAAAATAAATTATTCAGCATTTTTCCATATATAGAGGGGCATAACCCGAGAACGTAAAAAGTGACGCCACCAAATTTCAAACTTGATCTGAGTTTTGTGGTAATAAGCATTGTGTACAAGTTTCATAACATTTGGTAAAGGCAAACAAAAGTTAGAGAACGAAAACAAAATAAATCAGCATTTTTTCCATTTCTAAAGGGACATAACTCTAAAACGGTAGAGGTGACGCCACCCAAATTCAAACTTGATCTGTGTTTTGTGTATAAGTTTCATAAAATTTGGTTGAGGTAAACTAAAGTTAGAGAACGGTAACTAATTTTGTGACGTACGTACCGACGAACGGACGGACAGACGGAAAATGGTAACACTAAATGCCCACTCCGCTGCGGCGGGGGCATAAAAAACGAAAAACAAATATGGCAGAGACAGCAACTACTGAATTCTAAGCTCCAAACTTGGGAACAGGCACAACCATAATGTGGCGGGTTTATGAATGTATGTCAATCCTCAACCCTCCCTTAAATTAATCTAGTACAATGATGTAACAGCACAACATAAGAACAAAATGTAACAACCAGTTGGAAATGGCTTAACTCATCACATCGGCATGACAATATAACCCCATCTGACCTCCAAAACAAAACAAAAATATAACAAAAAGGAAAAAACAAAGATACCGAACTAAGGGTTCGCAGTTACTGAACGCTAGTTCAGAGCCAATTTCAACATATAGATAAACCATGTTTTCTCAGACTATAATACCAATCAGTACACATCCAAAGGATTTAGAAATTTGCGTCATGAATAGTCTATGAAAAGCATAACATTGAACAATGCCAAAATATAACTATCGACAGGGTGTAGGACAATGCCTAAATATATTTAGTTAAACATTTTAAAGTATCGACAGAGTGTAGGACCATGCGTGTTCATTTATTGTTTACTTAGTATCGATGAACACAATATTCAAAGATCTTCCTATAGTGTTAAATTGACATAATTTCAGCAGTTCAGAATACTGGTAATATAAAATAAACAGATGTGGTAATAGCCATTAGCCAATGAATCTAAATGAAGCGGGTTTAAGTGACTATAGGTCACCGTACGGCTTTCAACAATGAGCAAATCCTATACCATATAGTCAGCTATATATGACAAAATGTGAACCTATTTATCCATAGGATCTATGCCCCGTCTATGATAGGTTGATGAATTTCGTTTCCGATCTGTATGTCCATCCATTAAAAAATAGTCACTCCGTTTGTTCAGTTTTGGTTAAGGTAAATGTAGTACACCATGATTAAAGTTGTTATGTCGACTGGAAACTTAGTACAATTATTCATTTGTTTTGTATGATGTTAACCTTTTAAAATATAATATGCTCAATAAGGGTATTGACGCATATTTTGCCTTTGGGTAATGAAAATGGAAATGTGATATTGAGTTTCAGAATAAACTTTCTGGTTATGGTAGTTTTCAGTTAAGTTGTGGTCCTATCATCTTGAAATTATATGTTCACATGTTATTTATGATGGGAACTTTTCAAGACATAGGTCAAATTTGGGTTTTGATTCAGAATTCGCGATTCACTGTATACATTTGTCATATTGGAAATGTGATCATGTGTATCAGGTTATTTTTTGTTTTGGTTTAAGGCAGTTTACCATGCAGTTGTGGTCGCATCAACATGAAACTTAGTACTGCACATGTTCATTATGGGAAGAATATTCAAAAAATGTATGACAAATTAGATTGATTGTTGGTTAATTAAAGTGTTGTCACAAAGTAGTTTTGGCCTAGATTTCGCGGTTCAATGAACATGTAAATAGGATATTGAGAGCAGGGCATGGTGTCCTATCGACTTAACCCATTTCTCTGACGTCAGTCTATTGTTCTAACTGTAGATTATTTTTCAAGAATCCACTGACCACAGTATTAACTTAAGAGAACTTATATTATAATTTTAAACTTTTAACTTACGATCTTTTATCCTCTCAAAAACGAGTGGCATGTGTAGGATTCGAACCCGCGCGTATTTTCTTCATAACCAATAGAGTCTTCAGTCTATGCATGATACCACTAGACCACGATGGCTGACATCAATCATTTTCTGAATAGTACTCTTAAAGCGCTTAATTGTCAATATTTGTTATTTTACTGTATTTCTGTCTAATTGATTATTCGCTTTTGTAATCTAATGAAATATATATATCTTGGTTTGTTCATGTTTATTGAATTTGTTTTATTTTGGGTGTTATATTCTTTTAAAGAAATGGGCTAAAACTACCTCTTTGACAGTAAAAATAGAAACAAAATCATCGCCATTATATGAAAATGAAATATATAATACTTCTACATGTTCTAGGATTAAAACACTATTTTGGTCCAGAAAAAAAATTACAATGAAAAATTTCATTCCGGGTACAAGGTTCGAACTTTGCACTGTTAATATCACGACTAGACGATCACGGCTATGAACAGCTTGATGGTAAGTTTATGAAATCAACATAATTATTAATTGTATATCCGTAGCAAGAGCAATTCTGATGGGGATTCAGAATGCATACCACAGATAAAACTAGTTTATTGACCGGTGAACGATATATGCCAAATGCAATAACGTTAAAATAAGCTTTATGAAAATGCAGATTTATGACATCTACACCAATAATTGAACAAGATATACCAAATGATGTTGCTCAATATTATTTATATAAATTTTGAAGGTTCTAAATTTTGGTAATTAAAATTTTTTAACTTTTCAAAACAAGATAAATAAATTCTGTATATTAATATATGTCTCTTTGAATAAATTAAATATACCAAAATCTGTTCAATTTAAATAATTTGTAATGATTACACATTAAATGAAATATGAATATACAAAAATAAAATCTGGTGTTAAAAAGGGGAGCTAACACCCAATTTAAGTTATATTAAACTTATGTTAACTTGTCAAATGTCTATATATAGATGCGAACCGTGTGGATATAATCATTTCCAGCTATTATAGAATAAAAAAGACAAAATACGAAACTATTTTTATGAAATATCGTTGATTCATTGTCAAAACGTAAAACAGACAGCCGTTTTACTAGAAATGGGTTAAGCTAGAGAATTGATAAGAAGTAGTGGATTCGGAACCGCTAATCAACTTGCGACTAAAGTCGCTCGTTGATTATCGTTTACGAATCCACTACTTCTTATCAATTCTCTACTACATAAACATGGATTCTTGTTCATAGTATACAAGTTATGACGTTTACGACATCCAAGTGATATAAAAAAAAACTTCCTTTAGACTTAAGCGACCAGACTTTATTCTCAATTGTATTATGACATATATCAACATAATGTACATAATTCTGAATGATTGAAGTTTGCAATTGTTTGTTTGAAGGGATCAAATAATGGCTCTCGTCATACCCCATCGTCTCTTTAACAATATATTTAGAAATCCCATTCTTACTAGGTTACCAATTTCAGAGTTAAAAATTCATATTCAGATCCAACTTCAGATTTTAAGTACATGTAATTGTGTATTATTGAATAGGTGTTTTTAGCATTACAACTAGAAACTCAAAGGACCAACATGTTAAACCATATACTGTTTAACTCGATACATATTCAGAATTAGGTTTTCACTACATGCAAAAAGTAAAAAAACAAAAATACCGGACTCCAAGGAAAATTCAAATCGGAAAGTCCCTTATCAAATGGAAAAATCAAAAGCTCAAACACATCAAACGAATGGAAAACAACTTTCATATTCCTGACTTGGTACAGGCATTTCCTTATATAGAAAATGGTGGATTAAACTGGTTTTATAGCTAGCCAAACCTCTCACTTGTATGACAGTCGCATAAAATTCCATTATACTAACAACAATGTGTGAACAAAACAAACATATATAATAGGTAAAAATGTCAAAAATAGGGGTACAGCAGTCAACATCGTGTTATATTCTTAATCACTAAAAAAACAAAAAAATATATCAACAAAGAAAAACAAAATGGCATATAAAAAAGCACATAAGCAAAAATGAAAGACAAGAATACAAAAAATGACCACAGCACAACAACACATTAGCGGGATGCATAAGTACCGAGCCACGCCAAAAGGATGTTACCAAAAAATGGACTAAACAAGGTTAACAATTTACAAAGACAAATAAAAGAACACTATAACACGTAATTAAGA